TCTTTGGACATTTCTAGGTTTTCATGTGCTTGCGGCTCCTTGGAATGTCATCTGCAGCGGTCTGGGGCCGTCGGGATCCTCCCGAATGGCCGCGGACCCAGCTCGAGGATCGAGGTTCGACGACCGAGGGCCCTGCCCCTCGCTCCGCCTGCGCTTCTCTCTCTCTCTCTCTCCTGAGGCCCCCCCCGCCTCGCTCCGCTCTGCGTCCCGCCTGCCCCTTCCTCGCGGGCTCCTCCTCTTCCGGCCCCTTCACTTCTCTCGGGGGTGGAAGGGGGGGGGTGTGCTGTCGTGCACTCGAGGCCCAGGTTCAGCGACAGTCCTTCCAGAAGAGGCCCGGAGCGGGCCAGCTCCCAAAAAGGGGGGGGTCATGAAGCCGAGCGAGGCGTTCCTCCTTGGCTTTCGATCGAGCGATGTGCACTGTGCCGGCGGCAAGGGCGCGCGGGTGTGAGACGACTCGTGTGACGACAGCGGCTTGTTGGGAAAGCACGGAGCGACGCCGACCCCAAAGCTCACTTGTCCTCCGGGGGAGGGGGGAGAAGATGGGAGCTGACAGCATGACTCAACAGGCGTCAAAACGCGAGTGCAGCCACACGTCAGGAGACAGGCTAAAAGAAATCAATCAACAGGCCGCGAGCAGGAACACCCGAGGCTCCCCTCATACGGAGCCCGCGCTCAGCGACATGCTCTGCGTCTCCGTCAGCGTGGTCGGCACGTCCAGCACCTTCTCCACGACGTACTTGATGGTCTTGTCCTTGTTGCTCTCGTAGTCCGAGCGCACCATGTCGATCTCTGCCCGCGTCTTCTGCTGGAGCTCCCTCATCGCGTCGTTGTCCTGCTCGGCGGTGGACCAACCTCCCTTCAGTAAACCCACCTTTAGTGAAAGCGGCCTAAGACCGAAACCGACGGACCTGGACCCGCAAAAATGACGGCCGCGACGCCCTCTTGCGAACCGAAAACGGCCAGTTCGCTAATGGACGTGTCAGGGTAGGAGGTCTGTCAACCTCCGACCTGCGTCGAATTCGCCTTCGCCTCGTACAGCCTCTGCTGCTCCTCGCGGAAAGACCTCAGATCGTCCTCCGCGGCCTGGGCGGCCTGCCGGAGCTTCTTGACGCGCTCCTTCTTGGCTGCCTCTTGGCGGTGCGCACAAGGGGGTGGAGGGAGGGGGGAGGGCTTCTTAGAAGGAGGCTGCTTCTCAGAAGGCCCTGGCCTGACGTCTATAGAGAAGGCCAGCGCCTTCTAAGAAGCAGGGGTGCTTCTAAGGAGCCTTCCCCCCCTCCCACCACCCCCCTCTGCGCGTGGCTGAGCCTCGATGATGTCCTTCGCCCTCTGCTCCGCACTCTGCAGCTGCGAGATGAGCTCTGGCGCGGAGGTTGGCAACCCAGGCCGCGCAGCGCCGATGACACTCATCTTCGCTGCAGGGCTGCGCAAGCGAGGACAGCTGCTGGGAGGCCAATCTCGTGATCTGCGCTGGGCGCTCGAGCCACAGGTGGCAAGTCGGCCAGCGTGGATTTCAAACAATGGGTTGTTGCACTGTGGACGTGAAGGCTGTGCGGTATAGGCTATATGTGATGTAAGCTATGCCATGTAAGCTATGTAGTATAAATATGTCTTATAAGATCTGTGTGGTGAGAACTGGAGGTTAACGCTATGTAGGGCAAATTATGTGTTAATTTGCCATCTCTTGAATTGCCACCCCCACTGCTCGCGCATTAATCACACCCTCTCACCCGCAAATTGGTTTGCAAAAGCCACGTGGCGGCGATTGTGACGACTGCTGGGCCATGGCTGGCGCTTCCCTGCGGCCAGAGCTTGCGCGCAGAGCGGCCAACTGGTTTGGCACAACCGATGCGGCCGTTATGGCGCTTACCGTTGGCAACGTCCCAGCGCGTGTCAAAGGCCGCGCTGGCGCGCGAGCACTTCAATGCGGGTCGGTGGCTTGGGCGGACGCGGTATCACGATGACGTCGACAACAAGGGCAACGTCGATGATAGCAGCGATGGCGGTGGCGATGATGACGATGACGGCGGCAAGGCCACTGACGGCGCCGATGCTGGTAACGCCGATGACAACGATGATGTCCATGCGTCGATGATGAAGGTGCTTGCGTGATGATGGCGGCAATTGCGGCGACTGTCGATGGCGACGACGTGATGCGGCGGCGCTGCTGAGGATGATGGCGAGGAAGCGCGGGTGCGCGGGCATCCAAGAACCCTGGCAGACTTCCGGTTGACATTCATGTCTTTCGTTTCGTTTCGCAAATTTCTGAAGAGCTCTATTTTGATATGCCTCCAGAGTTCCTGGTTCTAGACCGAGTTCGACACGCTCGTGTGGCGGCGCGCGCGTGCTGCCCGCATGGTGTCACCTGACACGGAATCGCGCGCCGGGCGAATGCTGGACTGCCCGTGCGGTATGGGCTCCTGTGAAAAATCGGCGCCTGGGCAGCATCATACGTAACTCGCAATGTCCCAGGAGGGACCGCTGAGTCCGAGGGGGGGAGAGAGGGCGGTAGAGTCAGGTCGGGCATGTCCTCCTACAGGCGGATTTTGGACGAACAATTAAGCATAGTCAAAAACACTCAAGACGAGTTATATATACACGAAAAATCGCCGCCCATTTTTGTGTGTAGATGCATATCTGTATAAATATATACACATACATATATATATGTATATGTATAAAAACAACTTTCGAATATTCCTCCTGTAGAGGGACAGGCCCGCCTTGATGGTTGAGTCTCTGCCTCTTTCGACAGAAGAAAATCCTGCGCCGGGGGCGCCCGCGAGCGCCCTTCGAGGAGTCGAAGGGCGGCAGCGCGGCGCAAGCCCTCGGCGATACCCGCCCGGCGCACTGGGCGCCCTATGGGCGCGCCCGCGAGGCGGCACCGTGGAGAACTCCTGGCGACCCCGTCCGATCGCTTAAGACACGACGACGACGACGACGACGACGACGACGACGACGACGACGACGACGACGACGACGACGACGACGACGACGACGACGACGACGACGACGACGACGAGGACATCGACGAGCACAATTTTGGCCTCCTGAGTCCCTCTCGGGGCGCGTCTTGGAGCCTTCGACGTCTTCGGAGCCTCTTGAGCAATCTTTAAGCCATACTCGGGCGTCTTCGGCCCTGTCAGGCTGCTCTGGTCGCTTTTTGGTGGCCTCTGGGATGCCCCGGCAGGTGGCGTACTGGGGGCCCTCACCGAGCCCCGGCGTCTCTGTCTGCTCCGTACCCTGCGTTCTATCTCTTTCCGATGAAAGCCGGGCGCAGAGACTTCCAAATGCCTGAGGCTTGCAGAAGAACCTGCTTCTCCTCTTTCCCTTTCCTCCTTCCTCCTCCTCGTGGCCACCAAAATTCGCTAAGTACTGCGATGTGGTCACAGACAGCTCTACTGAAGTAGTGACCCGCACATGGTTTGAATTGGAAATGAAAAAGGTACCAATCACGAGACCTACGGCCCCAGAGAAGGCAGGGTTCACAAAGCGTCCCCCCGCGGCATGACCCTCACAGATCGTGCCCCACCGTGAGCTCCACTCTCGGGTCCAGGGATAAAGTTTGCATGGCGTCCCTCTCCCACATTGGTACACCCTCACACGGATCGTGCCCAAGAGGAATGTAGTTTCACGTGCAGCCCTGGTGGGAGGAGTCGCATATCGTCACGTCCCCCTGTGTATCTTGACTGTCTCCTCACACGGATTGTACCCCACTGGGGGCTCCACCGACAGCCCCAGAGCCAAGGTTCTCATCCCGCCGCCCCGCCCATGTCGGCACACCCCTTACCTGGATCGTGAGGTCGGGGCGTCTTGGGTGCCTCTCGGCGCCGGGCTTCGGCGGCGCTGGGTCCTGGTTGCCCCTCTCCATCCTTCTTCTCCTCCTTCTAATAATTCTCCTCCTCCTCCTCCTCCTACTCCTGGTCCTCCCACTCCTCCTCCTCCTCCTCCTACTCCTCCTGGTCCTCCCACTCCTCCTCCTCCTCCTCCTCCTCCTCCTCTTCCCCCACCCCCCTCTGTCCACTGCCTCCGGCGACTTGAGATTTTCAGTCTGAGGCTTCCCCTCGTGAGGGCGGAGACGACGAGGGTGACGACGACGATGACGAGGGGGGGGGGAGGAGCATGTGGAGTTCAAAGGCAAGGCCATCTCGGGGAAGATTGTAGCGTGTTGGGGGCCTTTGGGCTCCATCCTGGCTTTCTGGGGCCCTCTTCGACTTTCCTTTGGCCGTCCAGGAAGTGCCGTTGGACAGCTCGGTGCTGTCGTGGCTATAGTGAGGTGAGTGTGTGTGCGTTTGCGTGAGCTTTGGGCCGTGGTGTTTCTCTCTTGGGGATTGCCTCTTGGGACCCTTGTGTGGCTCGCTTGGGGGATGGCGCTGGGCTACGGGACAAAAACGACATCGTGCGTGGGTTGTGGGTCAGAGGCCTCTTGGATGCATGCTCGGCTCTCCTGGGACGCCTCATTGGTGAGCGTCTTAGAACAGTGGGCCTCTGAGGGGCCGTTTGAGAGCCTCTTGGAAGTTATGTTGGGTGTCCTGGGGGGATCTTGGGGGCTTCTTGGGGGCCTGATGGCGGTCTCGGGGGCCCCCTTGGGGCGGATGGCTCGAAATGTGAGTCGCACCAACCCTCTGGGCGCGGATGGTTTAACTAACTCTTCTCATGTATCTTCCAACAACTCCTTCTTTCCCTGCTCGGGGGAGGGGTTTATCACTGTTCCTTATTAATATACACCCCCTCCCCCATCCGGCCGGCGGCCAACCCGGAACCATGCCGACGCCATGAGGGCCCGCCCCCACCATCCCTGTCAACAAAAACAATACAAACCGCACTCTGCCTCTACATTTGGAGCATGCGCGGCCAACCTGATGCGCCCCCCCCACCATCCCTGTCAAAAAACAATGTGAAATGCACTTTGGGGCAAAATCTTGGGTCATGTTCGTGAGGCCCGCGAGCACTTTGTATGTTTTTTGACAGGGACGGCGGGGGTGTCAGCATATTGCCTGCTGTGCGCAGGGCTACAATCCCGGACACAAAACGATACAACATGCACTTCGCGGCTAAATCTGGATCATGCGCGGCCACCCCGCGATCACTGTCAAATGGTTTTTGATAGGGACGGCGGAGGTTGTGGCGCGTGGCCTGCTGTGCGCAGGCCCACCAGACACAATGATGGGCCTTGGTCTTCGACAAGGATGGCGTGGGCCGACATGTTTGCCGATGTGTGATGTCACGTGCGCAGGCGCACCTGACGCACTCTGCACGTGCCCCGAACGTGGCGCACCTGGCGCGGATGGAGTGTGCGGCACACCTGGCGCACTCGGAGCACGTGGCGCCCCAGGGGTGCCTGGCGCGCTTGGTGCCCCTGGCACGCGTGGCGCACCTCGCCCAAGCGTCGCGCACCTGGGGTCGGCTTTGGTTCCCAGTAGCTGTCCATCCAACGACGACCGCTGAACATGCTCAGGCTCGGGTGATTCTTATGTGTTGGGAAGGCGGGGAGTGAGCTAGACGGCTTGCGGGCGGGTGGGTAGCTTGACCCCTCACCCTACCCCCTCCCCTGGACCTGGGAGGGGCAGGGGGGCGGGGTAGTTAGAGCGCCCAAGATGGCTCTAAGAGGGCCTCAGAGAGCCAAACATGGCCTACAAGGTGGCCCAACATAGCTGAACATGGTTCCAGATAGCCTCCGACATGCCTCGAAGACGCCTCAAGACGGTCCCAAGACGGTTTCCAGTCTCCAAGGGCCTCCCCAAGAGGCCAAAACGGCTCCAACACCTAAGGAACATCAATGTTGTTGGCCTTCTCGCCTTTTCGCTTCCATTGGGCCTCGGAGGCCTCCAGATGGCCCCAAGACAGCCCAAGAGAGCTCCAAGAGGGGCCCAAGAGAGCCCCAAGAGCGGTCCAAGAGCAGCCCAAGGGGCATCCAAGACGGCATTTTTGACATTCCGAGGGTGGGGTGTGGGGGCCTGAATCTATTACCCCCTTCTTTTTTTCCCATAGAGCCCTAAGAGAGCCCCTAGACCCCTGCACCTCCGCCAAAAAGCCACAAGAGGGCCCCAAGAGTGCCCCCAGAGGTCCCACGGGGACTTCAAGAGAGCCCAGAATAACTCCAAGAGAGCCGCCAGAAACCCTCATGAAGCCGTCGTGTTTGGGGAACACGTATTAAGTGATTCGACATACGTTCCCGCCGTTTCTGCGACCCCGGAACGCTTCCAATGCGGCTGAGCCACTGCATACTTCTACGTTCATTCGTTCCTGTGTCCCTTCCTTCTTTTCTTCCTGCCTCCACTCTCCTCTCTTTGTTCACCTGATGCCTACTTCTCTCTGTTCCTCCTCCT